ATAAGAAAAAAAATGTGGATAAATAATTGTGTACTATATTTCAGAGTTTGCTCCAATGGTGAGTTTGGACAAAGTCTTTGGAAGGTTGAACACTGAGTTAGAAAATGAATGTTGTTGAAAATATAGACATGGTGCAATGATGCCTAAAGAACAGAGCAAGCAAGGGGGGTGAGAAGTGCATTCTACGAGAGAAGATTCTTAGTGACTTGGTTAACTAGTTGCTGTAGGACCGAGGGTGAGCTGGGGAGGTTGGGACAGGACACATCTATGCCAAGGAGAATCGTCGAGGCGTGGGAGAGAACAGTCACTGAGTGAGCAAGATGGTTGGGGGGCTGTGTGCTGTGCGGGTGTGTGTACGACGGATTGGAGGAGAAAAGAGGGTCTGAGTTATTGTGGGGCACGATAGGTAAGGGGAGGCATATTTGACCAATGATTTGGAAAAAAGCATTTGGGGAGTTATAATACAGGTGGGGCTTACAGATTCTGGGTTCTTGTGCTGGCTCTGCGTCTTAAGCCAGCCACCTAGCCTTTGGGCAAGTTACATGAGCTCTGGTGCGTCACACTCTTCATTCAAAAAACGGGGATGAAAACTGAGATCCTTAAAGACATAGGCTAGATTCCCCGGGGGGTACAAACAGTTAATGGGCCTGGCTGTCTGCTGACCAAAAGAGTTGGCAGTGCACCCAGAAGCACCTCAGAAGAACAGTCTGGTATCGGCTTCCCAAACATCAGCCGCAGAAACCCCATGGAGCCCAGTTCTATCCTGGCTCATGGGGTCGCCATGGGTCAGAACCAGAGACTACCTGTCATGTTGTTCTTTTCTGCAAAGCTGTTTGTCGGCCTAGGACGTGGCACCGTACGTTGCTGGAGGGTGGTTTGGAGGCCACGGTCTCCATCTAAGCAATTGCTCCGTCATGTACAATCTTTTTGCTTTCCTAGTTTCAAAATCACCAGGCTCACTGTCTAGCGTTAGCTGCATTGCATGGTCCCAACAGAGCGGGACTACCGCTCGGATGCTCATGACTGCCTCCCTGCTATTTCTGGGGAGACCCAGGGCCCAAGCTCTGAAGGTCTCCTGGGACATCGTCAAAGAGCTGCTCCTCTTCTGAGAAAGGGAGCGGGCATTTTTATAGACTTGCATGGTCGTTAAAGATGTGTTGTTTCACAAAGGAATATTGTCTATTTTTATTTGTGGGGCCGGGGGTGGAAGGAGTATGTTATTTGCAGAAACCAGAGCCAAAGCTCATTGCCATCGAATCGCTGTGGACTCATCATGAGCCTGTAGTACGGAGTAGAACTGCCCTGTGTGTTTCCAAGACTGTAACTGTTCATGGAAGTAGAAAACCTTGTCTTTCTCCCTCGGGTCCAGGGTGGTTTCAAACTGCTGCCCTCGCAGTTAACTGCCCAAGGGGTAACCACTATGCCACCAGGATTCCTGTGATCTGCAGAAGGGAGGATAAAAGTGAGAGTGGGGGTAACCTGGAGATAGACACCCTGCTCTTATTTTGAAACCATGGGTCTTGGCTAAAATGCTTTAGCCTTCCATATCCAATCTGACTCTCAGAGCCTTCTAATTCAATGTATGTATAAGAATACAGGCATCCTACTCGCACAGTGGTTCAAGTGCTCAGCAGCTAAGGTCAGCGGTTCAAAACCACCAGCAATGCCACAGGAGAAAGATGTAGCAGTCTGCTCCCGGAAACAGTTCCAGTCTTGGAAACCCTGTGGGGCAGTTGTCCTCTCCCCTTGAGGCTATGAGAGGAATCTACCGGGCAGCCGTGGTTGATGAGAAAATGACTCTCAGACTGAGCTAAGGCACATTTAAAGAGAGGGACGCGTTCTTCCTATAAGATGAAACGCTCATCAGGGTTGAAAGGCTTGAAATCTGCTTGAGTTCAATGCGAGGTGGGGTTCAGGGCCCTGGAATAATTGGAAATAGTCTTTGAACATCAGAGGGTGTGTGTGTGAGAGACAGACAGACAAATGAGCCAGCTGGAGCAGCCTCCCCTTGGTAATGCACTACAGCCGACGAATGGGCCGCCTGCCCTGCCTCCTCCAATCTGCTGGGGGTGGCTGGATACAGCTCCTGGGGGTTGCATAGCACATGAATGTGCGCTATTGTTCCAGACACATGTCCATCCAGGAAAGAGCAGAAACAGCCCCGTCCCTTATTCAGATGCAAAGCCCCTTCCAGCACTCAACCCGGCCCTTCAGGTCACATGCCTGAGGCCTTTACAGGCAGGGCACAGCTGCCTGAGTCTGCCTCCGAGCTTAGCACCCAGTCACAAGACCGGACAGCCAGCGGAGGGCCCCCGGGGACACCAGAAAGCGGGTGGGGACCAGGCAGGATGTTCTCCCGAGAGTTGTGGCTGGAAAATGAGAAACCGTGTGCCATGGTTCGGAAGGCGAGGCAGGGCAGGAAGCGCCAGGAGCTGCTGGCCGTGGCACTGGGGGTGAAGGTAGGAGTCAAAGGCAGCTTCCTCTGGCCCCCACTCAAACTCTTTGCCTGTCCACAGATCTCCTCCCTGGTGCGAAGGGCCGCCCTCACGCACAACGACAACCACTTCAACTACGAAAAGACACACAACTTCAAGGTAAGCCCCCCTCCCAACCCCTACCCGTTCCTTCTGCTGCCAAAAGACAGTGAGATCGGGATGGAGTACAGTTTCCAAGTGGCCTTTATGTGGGGCTCTGAGGGAGGAATCAGGAGTCTGCAAATTCCTTTGGCTCCCGCACATCAGACTGGAGAGGTCAGGAAGCCCTTGGCTTAATGCGCATGCTTAGAAATACCTCTGTGTGTCAACCTAGCTCTGGAGAGGTGAGCACCTTTCTGGTCCTACTCCCACATCCAGTGGAAGAGTAAGCCCCCCTCCATCTGTTAGCCAGGAGGACTTCTGGGGAGTGCCCCCCGCCAGGTGGTAGTTTTCCACTTCGGGAAGAGGCAAGAGAGCTGCGGCCTTCAAGCGAGTGGAATCAGTTAGTTGCCTGTGAACATGCTGTTTTGTCTTTCGTTTGCGGGGATGCGCACTGGTTTCGTGTCTGTGTGAACAGCTGTGAAAGCAAGCGGGGCCAGGAGAACCGGCCAGAAGCCTGTTTGTACCCTGGGTTGCAAGAGGCGCCGGGGCAGCAGCCTTGCTCCCACTGACCAGGCCAAACTAAAAGATAGGGAGAGGCTGGGGGAGGCCAAGTGGGTTCTGTGTGTGTGTGTTTATAAATGGGAAGACCTGCCCTTGCAGAAATAGTAGGCCAGCAGGC